TATTTTGGAGAATGTCTTATGTGCAGCTGAGAAAATTGTGCACTGTGTTGTTGCTGGGTGAAACACTCTGGAAACGTCTACCAATTCCATTTCTTCACAAGTTTGGTTTAGTTTTGTTATTTGCTTGCTGATTTTTTTGCCTAGTTAATCTGTCTCTTTGTGACAGTGGCATGTTAAAGTCCCCCATTACAACTGTATTACTGCTCATTTGATGTTTCATGCCTGTTCAAAATTGTCTCATGTAGGTGGGTGCTCCTACACTGGGTGCATATATACTTATAATTTTTATCTCTTCCTCTTGCAGTTTTCCCTTAGCAAGTATGTAGTCACCTTCTTTATCTCTTTGAATGATTTTTGGTTTGAAGTTGATATTGTGAACAACCAGAATAGCTACCCCTGTTTTTTTCTGGTTTCCTATGGCATGGAAAAATTGTCTTCCATTCTTTGACTTTCAGTTTGTAAATTTCCTTTTGAGTTAAATGTGTTTCTTATCTGCAGCATATTGTTGGATTTTGTTTCTTAATCCACTATGCTAGTCTATTTTCTTTTGATTGGCAAATTGAGGCCATTTACATTGATGGGTTATAACTGATTCTGTATTGGCTTATCTTTGTCATGTTATATTCTTGCTATAGGTTTCCTGCGTTTTCCCTCTTTTTAATTACTTGCTGTTTGGTGGATCCTTTCTGTTGTTCCTAGAGCTATGGTTGTTTCTGTCTCTCTCTAGAATATCTGTCAGTATTCTTTGTAGGGTTTGTTTGGTGGTCCTGAATTTCTTCAGTTGTTCTTTGTCATGGAACAATCTTATCTTACTATTGAATTTGATAGCTAGTTTTGCAGGGACATCAATCTCAGTTGGAAGTTATTTTCTTTCAGGACCTGAAATACTTCACTCCAAGCTCTTCTTGATTTGATGGTTTATGTTGAGAAATCTGCTGTGATTCTGATGGGTTTTCCATTGTAATTGATCTGTGTCTTCTCTGTAGAAGCTTTTAATATTCTGTTCTTTTGCTGAATTTCTGAGATCTTGATTATTGTGTGTCCAAGTGTATATTTATTTCGATTATGGCTGTTTGGATTCATAGTGATCTTCCTATCTCAGCCTCCCCAGTGCTGAGATTAGAGGTGTGCCCACTATACCTGGTGTCAGTGGCCAGCACAGTGTGCCTAGGGATCCAGGGCCAGCACAGCATGCAGTACCTGGCCCCTTGCACTCTAAGGCTGGTGCTTAGACCACTGAGCTATCTGCCCAGCCCTATAACAGGTTTTTAAGATTTGAGTCTGTTACTAGATCCTACCTCTTCAATTTGTTGGAGATGAGAAGTTGCTGCCTGTTTGGCCCAGCCACTGATTTTTTGCCCTGTGTCATAGTATTTTCTATGACTGTCAGTCAATTTCAGTCTTAGGATACCAGGAAGCATAGTAGAAGAGTTGTGCAACTTTTGGCTAAGTCATTCCATCAGCAATAACAGTAGCAACAATCACAACATAAAAAATAACAAATTGAAGTAATCATTAATCATCCACCTCTAATCATATGAAATAGATATGTAGTCATATAAATCAAAAACAAAAAATTACCACCAAAACAACAACAAAGAGAGAAGAAAAAAGCTAAGTCCACATCTGGGTTTGTCTCTGCTGTCAGCACACCTTCCCTGGACCCAGGCCCAGCTGGGAGCCAGTGGATGGAGCCTGCAGCTGCTCTGAGTTCTGAGCTTAGATGGCCCCTCTCCAAGATGGCTCCCAGCCCATCACTGCCTTGCAAGGGACGACTGAGCCCTCAGAACTCAGTGCCAGCTGGTGCAGTCCTTTTTATCTGCTGTTCCCATCCACTGCTGTGTCTCTCTATGGTGGCCTCTAGGGTTGCCAGAAGTCACTGTGTGTCCAGAGGTTTGAATTGTTCCTCTTGCACTGAGTCTCATCTCAGGAGAAGGTACTGCTGGCTACCTCCTCCTTCTTGGAAGTTTCTTCCTTGACTTTCACTGTGGGTTTCAATTCACAGCTCAGATTCTTCCTGGGTCCAGAGGACCACTTTCTTCCCTCTAGTCTTCCTCATGTTGCTATATTCTATCATCTTGAGAGAAACACTCAGGCTCTCTGCTGCTTACCACTCTGCCATTGTCTCACATACCCCAAGTAAAAGACTTTTTATTTCCTGTTGATCCCATTACCCTTTCTCATTTGGAGATTTCTCCACAAATGCCTGACTCCTCCCTCCAGACTATTCACTACTGTCAGAGTTGGGCTTTTTTTTTTTTTTTTTTTTTTTTTTTTTTTTAAATATAATCCACTGGCCTCAGCTTTTCTTTGCTGGTCTCTAGCTATGAGTAGTGCCAGACTGGAAAAGACTGGGCCAATTAGATGTTTCTTCCCTTCCTGACTCAAACACCTGCCTCTCCTATCCAAAGGTAAATCTTTTCCTCTGTCATTTATATCAGGGACCAGCAGACTTCTCAAAAGGCAAGATAGGAAAAACCTGCCATTGTAATACACAAGCAGCCATAAATAACACATAAGCAAGTAACGTTGGCCAGATTTATAGAAACCTTAACAGGTACACAGCAAACAAGTACATGAAAAGATGCTCAACATCATTGGTCATCAGGGTAATGGAAATGAAAACCATCAAGAGATACCACTTCAGACCATCAAGGGTAGAATTACCTTTACACCCTAATGGGTTGAATTAACAAGATTGTTGGTGAGCATGTGGAGAAAATGGGATCCTTACACATAGCTGGTAGAAATAAAAAATGGTGTGGTCACTTTGGAAAGCAAGTTAAGTTGCTCAAAAATTTAACTGGTCATCCCAAATCCTAGTAGTAATTATCTAAGTGTATACCCAAGAGAAATGAAGACTCATATTCACACAGAAATAGGTATACAAATGTTTATAAGAGCATTGTTCACAATAGCCAAAAATAGAAACACCCCAGATGCCCAATAGTTGATGAAAAAATAAACAAAATGGGTATATGTGTAAAATAAAGCAGTATTTGTTAATAAGAAGTATGAAGTACTGGTACACACTGTAACATGGGTAAGTCTTGAAAATATTATGCTAAATAAAAGATACCCATAAAATATCATATGTCAAATGATTTCATCTATATGAAATTCACATAATAAGCAAACCAGAGAGCTATTAGTTAGCTTGGGCTGAGGTCATAGGTGAGGTAAAAGATGTGGTTTTAAACATTCCAAAATTGTGATGATGATTACACAATTTATGTATTTTAAAAAAAAATCATTACTATAATGAAATATATCAAATAAATTATAGAAAGAAAAGAGTATTTTGACTTACAGTTTTACAAATTTTAGTCCAAGGTTGGGCAGACCCATTTGTTTTAGGGCTTTCACAGAGGTGTCAGATGGCAATGGTAGGGAGCATGTGATGAAAGAAACTGTTTACCTCACAGCCAGAAAATAAAGAGTGAGGGGTTGGGATCCTTCAGTCCCCTCTAAGGGCACACTCAGTGACCTAAGAAGCTCCCTCTAGTCCTTACCTCCTAAAAGTTACTCCCAGTGGTACTACCCTGGGGACCAGGCCCTTACATATGGGCCTCTGCAGACCTTAAACACACAAACTATAGTAGTCCTAAAACCACTGACTTGGACACTAAATAAGTGAATTGTGTGGTATGTAAATTATACCTAATAGAACTCTTATTAAAAACAGACTGTCTGCCTCTGGTCTGTAGTATGTTGAACCATGATCTACATCAAAGAATGATACAGATATCTCCAGGGAGTAACTTAACACGTCATGTCAATCAGAAGGATGGGAAAACATCTGCATGACTGTCTACTTTTAACATGAACACAAGTATGGTTCTAGAGTTGAGACAGAGCAGATCAGAGAATACCAAAGAAGAAGAGATAAAAGTAGGATAACTGCTTTTTCTTACTTTAGAACACATCAGAAAATGGGTGACCAAATTTTTCCTGATCTCTATTGAAAGTATAAATTGTATCTTCTATTTGAGATGAAAAAGAACACAGAGGTGCCCGTCCCATCTAACCAATGTGGTTCACAGGTTTCTTTCCCTCCTCCCAGCTACTTTTCAACAAACAAAATCAAATAAATGTGAGTGAGCAGGAAGAACCCTTGTTCCTCATGTGTCTGAGGCTGGATGTAACATTCAGAACCTACTCTTGAGCCTCACTGGTAAAATACAGAACTGTAACTTAAGCTTTCCTCCTAGAACACAAGTGTGATAGGGAGACAAAGGAATTAGCCTGTGTATATGAAGCTCGTAGCTTCTTGAGGATATTGTAACAAATTACCACCAATTCAGTGACTTAAGAGTATATCTTCTCAAAGTTGTGGAAGCCAGAAGTCTAAAGTCAAGGTGTCAGTAGGTTCTTGTTCGCCTCAGAGTCTTTGACCAAGAATCTACTCCTTGCCTGTCCCCACTCTGGTAGCTCTGGGTATTCTTGGTTGTAGCTGCATCTCAGCTGCATTTCACATGATCATCTCTATCTGAGCATGGTCACAAGTCTCCCATAGTTGTATTTGGGGCACACTTAGATATTCAGCATAAGCTCCTCCTTTTTAGATCCTTAGCTTAATCATATCTTTTGCCATACAAAGTAATATTCACAAGTTTCTTGAATTTGACATGAGTATTTGGTGGGGAGGGGACAGGGAACATTTTTTTTGTTGTTGTTGTTGACATGCAAGTTATTTGACCCAAGAGTAGGAGGAGGCTATATACAACCCTTGAAGTTATTTTCTACTGGCATTATGGATTTATATTATCTAATTATACATCCCTTCCACCTCAGCCACTGACATGTCTCTATCTGCCCAGTGACAGCAAGCCAGTATGAGGCAGGCAGTGTACAATCTTAAAACAAAGACGGTGTGACAGAGACTGAGATAAGGCTCCCTATCCATCAACTCTGGGACAGGTATTGACAGATGACCCAGTATTTTTTGCTTTTAGGAAATCCCTTCTATACATCTGATTGTTTTTCTTTTCTCTCTTCAGCTTGCACGTAACCAGTAAAAGTAAGGAGTCGGGCCTTTCCCATACCACCAGACCCAGCTTTTGCTTTTCTAGCTGTGGGCACATCAGATCTGTGCATGACAACTTGGAGCTGGGAAAGGAGGATTCGTGCTGCTCTCCACCGCCAGACTATAACTCAGTGGTCTTATACTCCACCCCACCTGCCTAAGGCTCAGCACAAGCCCTATTTTCAGAAGTACATGTGTATTTACACTCCCAGAAAACTAGCTTTTGACAGTATTATGCATATATGAGTTTACACCTTTATCTTTGCAGGGAGCAGAGGCAGCTGCTTTTTTACTTAATTTTAATACTGCTTTTTGTTTTTTTGTTTTGTTTTGTTTTGTTGTTTTTTGTTTTTGTTTTTGTTTTGTTCTGACTAACAAGAATGTAACCCCAGATAAATAAATAGGGACAGGTTAAACACTACTGCTCAATTTTCATATTACTCACTGTAGGAGAGAAAGCCTTTGAAAGCCCAATGACTCACCTGCTCCAGCCCCTGAGACCTCTGAGCACACAGGTCAGGAAAACTCACATCAGCTGGTCATGCTCAGCAGCCCTGAAACTGTGGCAAAAAGGATCCCTGCAGCATGCAGGATCAAGTGCTGGCCTAGGTAGTGTTTCTGCAGTTCTCCAGCCAGCATAAGACATCTAAGGAGGAGCGCAAGAAAGAAGAGAAAACCAGAATAGGCCTGAGAAAGACAGATGCTTCCTGGGCAAAGGCTGGGCAAAGGCTCTCTGCAGTAGTTTCCCAGCCCTGACCACTGGGCTTTTACGCTCCCAACTGGAAGCAGACAGGTAGAGTGGCGAGGACATTTCCTGGAATCTGGGAGGTAAAGAAAGGAAAACCTTTTTAAAACTAAAGTACATCCTACAAGTTCCCCTGTGGGACTGGCTCTGTACTATTCCTGCACATGGTATGCTTCAGTGATAGCAAGCAAGCACTGAGGGTGGGGCTCACCTCTCAGCCCCATAGTGTCGGCTCCTCCAGAAAGCCACAGTGAGAGCTTAGCCTGAGCTGGCAGGCCACAGGGCATGAAGGCCTGACACCTAGCATGTTGCTCATAAGAAGTTAAGGTTTGGTGGTTGTTAAGGGCTGTCTACTATTGGGCTCAAAGTCACATTTTTAAAAAGGTCAGATTCTATATTAAGTATTAATGTATAGACAAGACACTTAACTTTTTGTATTATCCATTTTGTACAGTTAACTATAAAAGGAAGGTTAGGAGAGTAAAAATGTGGTCTTTTAGAGGACTTTTTCCTGTACCAAGCTGAGAGTCGATGAAACAAAAACCAGTAAAGCAGAGTAAAAATTCCATCTTCACAGCCAAACCAGCTCACCCAAAGCGCTGGGACCTGGAGCAGAGGAAGTCAGTCATGAATTTCATTTTTATTTCATGGGGGTTCCAATGTCTCCTGCTATTCTGGAAGGATATGGAAGATAATTAATATCTATTAAGCACTTTATGCTCCTTGATTTCAAAAAAAGTGATATGTAACCTATAAAAGGTATTTCTCTAATTGGGGACTCAACATAGTAGTTATGAGCCATCAGAACAGAACAAGAGCCCATTTTCATGTGCTTTGTATCTTGCCTTGGGTTTGAGGAGGATTATACTATGGAGACAGGGTAGAAATAGGGAGACAGGGTAGAAAATGATGCCTACACTTCAGCCTTTGTTGCATGCTATCTCTGCAAATTCTGGTTTGTGTATCTAGGACATATTGACCTTCTGAGGCTGAGGCCAGTCCAAAGCAGAAGGGCAACAGTGAATCACTGCTTCTGGGACAGAAAAGCATCTTTCCACTTACGCATGTCATTTAATTCTAGAACCTGAACTCTACTTGCTAGAAAGATGTATGCTTCCTTTTATCTGCCACAGTTTTGTGTAAGGCTTTTTGTATGAAGAGATGGAAGAGTAAGCACATTGCCCAGTGAGACCATAGGCAGGCTCTTGGGGACTCACCAGCCACAACAGAGGAGTGAGGCAGACCTTTCCACTAAGCACTAAACAAAATTGGAGAGAGCCAGAAGAGCAAAACCAAAACAAAGTAAAACTTCACTTTTATTTTTCTATACATGAAAGTTCTTGTGACAACTGGCAAGGGTATAAATCTGGCAACTAGACATAAGTCAAACAGGAAATAAAACAAGGCCCTAATTGTCTTTTTTTTTTTTTTCAAATCAGGTAAGGATCCAGAAATCAGTAATAAAGGGAAAATCTCAGCTACCCATAAAAAACTACATTTTAATAATCTAACTCTTATAAGACACCTTAGGTAAATGTCCTTTTCCAAAGGAGGGGAGAAATTCATTCAGATTCTGTTACTCAGCTTAAGACTCAGGCATATAGACTACTTAAAAAATCAAAAAATGGTTCCGTTGGAGTCTCAACATAGAAAAATGGAAGCTTATGGTAATATATATTTTTAATTGCAGAGGCAGTAAAATAGCACTGAAAATTAAAACACTAATTAAATGATGGTAATGTTAGAACCACTTGCTATTTATGAGAAAAATGGTTGGCACTAACAGGGGATAGGCACTTCCTTATGGGGTTTGTGAGAGAATCTGCATGGATCTGTGTGGACAGACGGGGGCTGAAGCATTACGAATTTGTATGCAGTTAGCCCAAGAAATGATACTCACATTAGCTTTAGCCAAGAGGACAAATGTGTCCAAATCCTGCAAAATACTGCTCATATCTTTAAGCTAAGGCTGTTTGCTAGCCCATAAGAACATCAAACATGAAACAGATTCTTACCAGCCCCATTTAAACTGATTAAAGGAGTGCATTTTTGACTGACAGTGTTAGGAACTATGTGTATATGTGTATGTGTTTATGTGTGTTTTGTGCATAACTATTTAAGGAAACTGGAATTTTAAGTTACTTTTATATAAATTGAGAATATATGCTACAGATATAAGCCAGACATGATTTGGTCCTACACTCCTGGTCATGATGAATGTATTTTATATATTATCTTCATATATTAAAATTAACTTCCAAAAACGTGATGCATTTTCTCCTTATTTGGTTTTAAGTGAACAAAGGGGTCAGTAATGTCTCTGGGAGGGAAGAGGTTGGACCTTCTGAGAGAGTGCCTTAAATACCAGCTATTAAGGATTGCACACAAAGAGCTTTCCACCAACACTATGCAGTGGCTACTCTAAGCAATCAAGACATTGCTAACAAATAAAAAACAAAATGAAATTAGGCATTTTGCCCAGAAAACCAAGCACAAAGCTCAATCATGAAGCAAAGCACTGCTGAGTGAGTGCTGGCTGCGGATGAAAGATCCTCAATTGGAGAGGTAGTTTAGGGTTAACACTAATTCTCAGCTGATAAACAATTACAAGTACAGGGTGTCAGTTTGCACGTACTTGTGTATCAGAAACCACAAAAGACGAAAGGGAAAGCATAAAACAGAACTTTCCTCAGAAAAGTGCTTCAGCTAAGGCATCTTTACTTGGTTTTGTGAATGGAGAAGTAACTTGGGTAGTAACTATGACATGGAAGTGGCCAACACCTTGACTTAGCAACCATACTATTTTTTTGTCTGACTGCTTCTTGGCCTTATGGATAAGATCATGTGTATTTTCTGCCTGATAAAAGTAAAAGAAGTTAAATGGGAAAAATATGCAGGAGAAAACTGGGACAGCTTTCTTGAGATCAGAGGTGAAAAGAGATAAATTACTTATCTCAGTAAATTCATATTTAACTGGAGAGGTCTGAGTTTTTTGTTTTGCTTTTAAATCTTCAAAGATTTACAATCCTTTTAAAATACCTGTTTTTGTAACATAAAAAGTCTGCCAGGCCAGTTGTGGTGTGTGCCTGTAATCCTACTACCCGGGAGGCTGAGGCAGAAAGACTGCTGCAAGTTTGAGCCAGCCTGGGCTACCCAGTGAGTTTAAGGCCAGCCTGCACTATGTACCCTGCAGTCATTCATTCGGGCAAAAACTTTGAAGAGTAATTGGGGAACGAAGTGTCACATCATCCTGCAGAGTTCTCTCCAAACCCTGGAGATTTACTGCTCTTTGGGGAATTCTCTTATTTTGCCTTCCTCCCCGCCCCGAAAAAGTACAGCATGCTAAGATTTACTGGCTCCTGTGTTAAACAAATTACCAAATTTTTGGGTTTGTCATTTTTTAATTTTTGTGTTTCACAAGACAAGAAATGTTGAAAAAGTATAGGGCCAACAGAGGGATGGCCCGCTTTCTACTTTGTGAACTAAGAACAGTGCGGGGAGAACACTGAAACAAGAAATGAACCCAAAAATCCAACTGGGTACTATTAGTTTTCCACCACCTGATCTGGATAATAGTATACAAATGCGCTCCCTGTGTGAGACTTCACTGAGCTCTGTGTTTTTGTGTCTGTGTGTATGTTGTTGACTTGACAAAGATGATTAAACTACCATCAATTGCCACAATTTCTCATAGGTGAAAACTCAATTTAAAAACAAGGAGCTTCATCTCAGATTAAAATACTAACTTCATATTACAATTATACCTATAGAGCTACTCAACTTGTGTTGTGGTTACACCCAGATCAGTCATCATAGATTAGAGCTATATAAATTGAAATGTATGCCAGCCACTGGACTTACTGAACCCCCTAGTGTGGTGGCATCGTACGGTGAGGTGTCTGCTGTTTGTCCTCGTGATTGCCGGGCTGACTGGGAGCCGTCATCATTGCTGTTGCCCAGCATCGTGAGAGAAGCCTGGACTGGACAGCACTAGCTCAGGAAAAGACCCAAATTCTAACTCCCAGGAATAGTTTGTACTAAATGTTGCTTTTGCATCATCATAAAGTTAAAAAATGCTAAGTCAAATCACTACTAGTTCAGGGAATGTCTGTATTATCCCTTTAGTTTTCTTTTTAACATCTGTTCCACAAAAACAAACAAAAAAAACCTAATGAACAAATGCTATCCCATGTACTGGAATTTGGGAACCCATGATAGCTAGTAATTGCTGTCACCTGGATGCTTAACATATGCCACTAGCTATTCTAAGTTCTTTAGCTGAATTAACTAATTTCAAAAGCAATCTAACAGAGTATGTACTAGGAGCATACCCTTCACTTCAGTGGGGGAAATGAATAGAGAGAACTTCAAAATTCCAACCTCAACTCTCCTATCATGGGTTCATATTGTCACTTCCCTCAGGGGCCAACCCCAAAAACACATTAGCACATGTGGCCCCTTCCTTTCACCCATGCAGACATAGTTCAGCCCTCCAATCCCATCCATTTCCTCATCCAACTGTCACAGTTTGCATCAAGAATGTCCTCCAAAGGCTTGTGTGCTGAAGGCCTGCCTCCCATTGGTGATGCTCCTGGAAGGTGGTAGAAAGTTCTGGGTGGGGTGATGTACCAACAGGGGTATGCCTTTTGAAAAGCATATTTTGCCCTAGGGTCCTGCCATCTTTGCTTCCCAGCTACCGTGAGGTGAGCAGTTCTGCTCCATAACCTTCCACTATAATATTCTCTAACTTCAAGCATGTAGCAATAAAACTACCCCAGAAAGGTTGAAACTTCTGAAACTGTGATACCAAATAAATCTTTATTCCTTTAGATTGCTTATCTCAGGTATTCTGTCACAGTGACAAAAAGCTAACACTCAGTGAACCATAAAAATATCCTCTTATTTCCCCACTTTCTTCCTCCAGCTACGACTCTCTCTATTCTCTCTTCCAACAAAATTACTTGAATGCATTAGTCATACTACTGATTGCCTACTCTTCTCCTCTACTCTTAACCTTGCAATTCAATGTGACTGGCGGGCACACACATGGGGATTGCTCAGATCATCAGTGTCTTCAAATGCAATGACCAATTCTGTCCCAATCATACTTTACCCATTAGGCACTTGTCCCTTAAATGCCTTAACTGTGACTCCAGATATGACATGTTCTCCATCTCACTGGCAACTTCTGGCTCTTTTTGCTAGTTTTATGAACTCTGTTTTTTGAACACTGTTGTTGGTACCGTTGGAATTTTTCTCAGTCTGCACTAATTCCTGTCATGACCTCAACTAATCTTATGGGTTTACACAGCATCCATATGATAAGTGTGTACAGACCACATCTCTCCCCTAAACTCCAAATTCACACATACAAGTGCTAAAATGACATTTCCTCTTCATGCTCCTGCACTTTATTTTTTGAAGACACCTGCTGCAATGCCTCCTCCCACCTGGCCCTTGATAACGTGACCCAAGATCACCTTCCCTAGAATCAGAACTGGCTCATGTAACTCATTTGCAATAAACAGAACGTGGCAGAAGTGGTATTACATGACTTAGAAGTAGGGCAGAAAAGATCGTGCACTTCCTACTTGCGTCTTGGAACATTCATTCTTAAAAAGCTCTTACTAGGGATCAGTGTCACATTCAAAGCCTGAGACACAGAGACCAACCTTCAAGTCAGTCTAGCCCAGACACTAGAATTTTTCCCTGCTCAGGACCCAAATACAAACTGAGATAATCCATCCTTGGTGTACCCTGTCCAAATTCATTTACAGACTCCTTAAGCAGAATAAAATGTTCGTCCTACGCCATTTTAAGTTTCAAGTTTTTGCCATGAACAACCAGAACAAATGTGTGAACATCTCAGACTCCAGACCAAGTTGCCAATGGTTTTGGTCCACTTTCCCATCCCCCAAAACCCTGTTCCTACAAATCTTTCAATTCAGAATCCCCCATCCTGTCAAGACACCCAAACTTTTAAGGGAAGGGGAAGATGAAGTAAAAAGAATTAAGATGGGTACCTGTACCAACTATCCATAATGAATATAATCCTTAAGTACTACAAAAATGAATAAAATAGAAAAATTTTTTAAAAAATCAATCTTGACTTTTCCTGGGCCCACGTTCAATGAACTGCTAATCCCTATTGGTCCTAACTTTTAAAATCTCTCCAGAATCCAACCACTTCCGATCACCTTTGCCACTACCCTCCACCCCAATTCCTAACATCTTTCAGGACAGGAAAGGATGTGTGGGGGCTGTGTGTCCACCACCCTCCCGGTCTGTTCTCAACACAGCAGCCAGACTGATCCTTTTCAAGCACTATACCATCTTCCTCCCCTTCTGCTCAAAATCGCCCCAAAGATTCCCCTTTCACTGAAGGTGAAAATCAAAATTATAGTCCACTAATTATAGTCCATTATGATGAGTTTTAATAAGGACAAGACAAAAATTCTATATAGATGCAATTTTCCCAAAAGTTATGGTCTGAGGCAGTTTGAACCTATGGATGCAGAGCTCATAGACACTGAAGGCTGATAGTATCTGGCACTCTTCCTTGCTAAAATGGAAGCTCTTTTCTCCTGTCTCAACTTCCTACATTGCTGGGATTACAGGCATGCACCATCATACACAGTTCTAGAATGGAAGTTCTAAAAAGAAAAAAATTGTGGCTGTTGTGATCACCGCTATGCTTGCTACACAAGAGGCATTTAGTAAAAATTGAGTGAATTCCATTTAAATCAACTAATACTAAAGAGGTGAGCAACTCATATGACAGGTATTTCCTAAAAGCTCAGGCAGTATTGAAACTCAGTCTTGTTTCAGTTAGCCGGTTTCTTAACCACAATGCCATGTGTTACCAATAAACACTAAGGACACAGGTTAAAAAAATCATCTTTGAGAACCGACCATGATGGCAGAAGAGGACAATGGGGCCCCCTTTGGCTTTTTCACCACCGTCTTCAATACCCATGAGCCTTTCCGCAGGGGCCCAGGTGTGGATCTGGGACAGGGTCACCCAGCCTCCAGCTGGCAGGATTCCTTCTTCCTGTTTCTCGCCATCTTCTTCTTTTTCTGGCTGCTCAGTATATGACCTGTGTCTCCTTCTTGCCCACTTCCAGCCAGAGGAGAATCAGTATTGGGGTCTCTGCTGACCCTTCCTTACTTCTGGACCCCCAGCCCCAGCCCCTCCTTTCGTTGGTCAAGGCTTACCCTGGTCACTCCCCAGGAAGGTGTGGGAGAACTGACAGCCATGCACAGGATGAGAGCGCTCTATGCTTTGAACTAACTGCTGGCAGAGACCTCCAGCCTGGGCAAGGAGGACAGATAGAAGTGCCTGCTTGTCCTCGCCTACCCCTTTGCTTTCCCTCAGATATCTTGATGTTGAAAGGTGGGCAAGGTTCAGTGCCTCTCAAACCAAACCAAACCAAACCAGCCACTTATTCCTTCTCCTTTCATAGAAAGTCTTCTCTTATACACTACACTGTAAGTCTTGTATTATAAGAAGTTTCAATATAACTATAAATTTTGTAAAGTAACAAGTCCCTATATATGTAGCCTAGAATGAATCTAAGGACACATTTAACAAATAATCTTAGGGCCGGCCAAATAGCTCAGCGGATTAGGGCCGGGGTTCGATTCCCAGGCCTGCCATGCTGGCCCGCTCCTAGGACACTCTGGGACAGCAATTGAGACTGGGCGAGGTAGTGCACACCTGTAATCCCAGTCCTTGGGAGGCTGTAAACAGGCAGATCACTAAGAGTCCAATCTAGTAGTTAGACCCTGAACACCCCATAAACTCTTCCCCAAAATAAAAAAAATAATAATTTTGATATGTTATTGAATCAATCTATAAACAATTCATCTAAGACAAAAATTTCTCTAAAATACATAAACAAAATATGTAACCTTTAAAAACCCAATATAGACAAACATGTCATTATATGTACAGGTAACCCCTCAAAAAAAAAAAAAAAAAAAAAACCCCTCAAAAAAAAAAAAAAAAAGACAAATTTATCTCTGTAATTCTTTATTAAAAATACTGCTGTACACATAGAAACTAAAACCAGGAATAAAGATGAATAACATATATTGGGATCATGACATTAGAACTTAACAGCATAATGGTGCTTTTTAGGGAAGTTCTTGACATCCAAATAACAGAACCAAGGTCAAAAGCAAATAACAGGGTACCCTTAAAATATTTACAATGAAGTAAATACACGAACAGAATTTAAAATAGGTACAAAAAATTGAAATGACCAATGTTACATGATTTTAAGGGTTGTCGTGTCTGTGCTTTTATCTGTTGTAAAGGAAGGTATGGAAAGTTTATATCCTTAATTTGACTACTCTCAGATATTAAAATATTCCTATGGATTAAAGACTAACTTTTAGACAACCTCTTAAGTGGAATTATACTACGGAAAAGAAGGTTCCCCTAAAAAACACCTAAGCAGAACTGAGAGTTCTTTTGAAAACCATTTCCAATTTAAAAAAGAAAGAAAGAAAGAAAAATAAATATAAAACGAAGCTAAAAAATATTACCTGACACTGTTTTCTGGATGACAATATTTACTCATGAAAACATAACAGCTGTCTACCTTTTTATTCAAACCAAGTCCTGAGGTTACTGGGGCTGAAGCAAACTAGTATTTATGGTGCATTCTTGGATTTACGATGTGAACTTGCTTGCAGAGGGAAGTTTGCTGGTCTATATAGAATGAGAGATTCAAGCCCTATTTTACCCCTGCCATTACTAAGCTTTCATAAAACATTGGTCCACAAATTAAAAGTTTCAAAAAGTTCCTAGAAACCAAAACTAAAATAGATGATCCCCTTTCATTTTCAAAGAAAACAATATTGGAAAAAAAAAATCTCCAGCCCGCTTATAAATTAAGCATTTCATATTTTTTTCTAGAATACAAGTAGTTCTTTTTTGTACAAAAGAATTACAATATGATTTGTCAAAAAACATATAAAAAGACAGCTGCTCTTCCTCAAATACATGAGCTAATGATAAAAGACTTTTGCATGTTCAAGTCTCCAAGTTCTTGTTCCTTTTTACATAAAAAAGAACATTATGGTGGCAAATGCTAATTATCTTTTGAATATTGAACATTATGTTCTCTTAAAATCCATCCAGACCAAATGCAGTAATTTTCTCGTTAACAACTGATGCTACCGAACGTGGACTCAAACGCACGTGTTAAAACCATGTAAAGCGTGTCTCTAGTCTTCAAAGCTTTCAGTGAAGAGGTGCTTTTTCTTGATGCAAATTTCAAGGCAGAGAAAAATCATTTTAAAGCTTATAAAAAGTGGACAGAGAAGTATTAAAAACTTCTCTGCAGTACAAATGCATGTAATTATTAAAATTGAAGACAGTAACATCAGTTGCAAGTGCCCGAGACTCTATCCTGACCTTCTTTCTGAGTTTCCACATTTTCTTCATAGTTGCATGGTGAGCACCCAGTGCTAGTAAAACATTCAGTGCTGGGAAAGGAGATATAGTCTTCATTACTGTTTTTAAGAAAGAAAATTCCTATGTATTTGGCAGTCTTCAGTATCAAAGAATAGGCATTTCATTAACTAGAAATTCCATGAATACCCAAGTTTGGCGGTAACTTCACATCCAAATATAAGAAAGTTAGGAGAAGGAAAACTGCAAACTTTTGAGATGGACTTCTTCAGAAGATCCACAGAGTGAGCTATTATCAAAAGTACTATCCCTTTGGGCTAAGCAGTGACTGCAAAGGCACAGCAGATCATCATCCCTTCAGATTCGGGCTGTAAAACGTCAAAAAAGCTCTTGGTGCCAGACCACTGCTGTGTTTCGTTCATCTTTGAACAGCGTCTCTGTGTCTGTATCCAGTGTAAAGTACCATAATAAAGCTGTGGTTCAGAGAACAGAACTTTATACAAAAAAAGCAAGCTGGAAATAACCTAAAGTAAGACCACCTGAACTTTAGGCTCTAAACACAATTTCCTCCTTTTGTTTTTAATTAAAAATTGCATAAATGTAAATGTATCTGACTAGCAGGCTTTCTCTTAAAAAAGGCTCTTTTGTGAATTTGGAGCAAAAAGCTATGCAAGCTTCCTTCATTACTATTTATCTCATCTTTCTTCAGAAGAGATTTAAATAAACTAAGAAGGGAATTCATACCAAAGAATTCACTGATATTTGTCTCTGTATGTTCTTACAAACAAAGAATCTCAGTTTGAACTAACAGTGGATGGCATATAGAGCTTGCATACAACACTCTTACAAGAATTATGCACTATACTGTACTTCTATGAAATTAATTTACCTGGTCCACTATGTCATTTAGGGCAACCTGTCCCCGAAACAGTGAATTTTGCAACCTTCAATGGCAATAATTCTGCCCAGTATTCCCAAAAATGTTCTTGCAAATAGTTTCCCTTAATCAGTATACAATGTGGCAAAAGTTCAAAAATCAGAAAAAAAGTCTTTAAAAAAAATTAAAATTAGTGCATACACGAGTGGGAAAAAACAAAAGCAGGAGCATCATTCACCTGATGGTGCTCCTTGATCTGAAATTAATTCTTCACAGACAGAGCCTCCAATGGCAGCCAGAGCTCTCTGAGTGAAACATTCTTTTCAAGTAACAGTGCACCTGACCGACGTGCAAGCAGCTTCGCTCATCTCCTGTAGTTTCCCCAATGTGAAAGGAGACGACCAACAGTTCAGCTGTAGTGCAATTTGCTGTTGGTTGAGTTCCTGCAGGCATTTTTAGCAAATACTACAACTGACCATTTGCTGCTGCAATCAGTTCTTGAAAAGTATTTTCAAAGCAGCGCTTTAAGTCACTGTAAGTCACCACAAGAACACTCTTCTCATCCCTGGAAATCAGGCTTATTTTTTCTGGCACACCAGCATCTAGCTGAAACAGAGTTACACAAAATATCAAGTTCTTACCATCAGAGGAGAAGCCACCTCATCTATTTGAGGACATTTCCAATAACGGTTAGCAAATATTTTAAAGAGACTTGGGTCATACTACTTTTTTAGATATCCATAAATAGTTCACATTACTAGTCAGTCATTACAATGTTTTAAAAATAAGTACCATTGTTTTTACTTATTCCTGTTTAACATTTGCTTGCAATGCTAGATTTTATTAAGTTGATACTCTATAATTATTTCCCTGCTTGCTTTCTCCTCCCTACCCTCTTCTTTCTCTGAGACAGGGTCTTAGTATATAGGCTGAGGTTAAACTTCCTTATGTAGCCCAGGCTGGCCTTAAACTCTCAGAGATCCTCCTGCAACAGCCTTCTAAGTGTTGAGACTATAACAATGCACCACCATGCCCAGATTATTTTCCCTTTTATGTATCAAGAAGTACAATACTATGCTAATATTCATCTACTTTTTTGTTCTTCGCTAGGAATAAAATTGTTCCATAGGAGAAATACTTAAAATTGTAAATAACAAAAATATGAAATATGACTTCTAAAGAGTATCAATTGAACACCACTAACTTACAATTTGTAACAATTTACTGGCAGTCCCATATTAAATGAGTACCTTTTTGTTTTCACATTTTAAGTGTGGCTATTAAACTTTTTTTTTACACATTTACTTTTGCTATTTCCTCTTGTGTAAATGCTAGTTTATGATCTTTACCAACTTCTACCTAGGGATTTGGCATTATTATTACTATTATTATTTAATTTTTTGATATAGGGACTCCCTGCGCAGGTCAGACTCAGTGATCCTCCTATTTCAGCCTCCCCAGTGTTAGGATTGTAAGCATGTGTCACCACATCTGGTTCCGGGCCAGCACAGCATGAAGTACTGGGGATCAAACTTGGGACCTTGCACTTCCTTCCACTGAGCTATTTCCCCAGCCAGTATTTTTTCCTCTCGCTTTTTTTTTGGATAGTACTATTTTGATCCTTGTAAAGCACACATACTAATCCTTAGCCCATCAAGTTAGTTTCCTTCTGATTTCCATTTTATTTTTTGTTAAGTTTCCAATTTACTTTTTCCCTCTTTATTTCACTAACTGACTCAAAATGTTTAAAACTAATGGAACACGGGTTGGGGAGATAGCTCAGTAGGATAAGCACTTGCCTGGCAAGCTCAAGCTCCTGAGTTCAATCCCCAGTTCTGCCAAAAAAAAAAAAACCCCAAAACACAACAAAAAAAAACCTAATGGAAGACTCAAACTTTCAACACATTTTACCAGTTAATATCTGTCATAGGGTTATTCCTCCCTTTTAGCTTATTAAACACTTTTCAAACTTAGAAAATTGGGACCAGGTAGATAACTCAGTGGTCTGAGCGCCTGCCTGGCAAGCACAAGGACCTGGTTCCATCCACAGTGCTGCATGCCCTACTGGCACCAAGCCGGCCACTGAAACCCGGTGTGGTGGGTGCACGCCTGTAATCCCAGTCCTGGAGGGACTGACAGGAGGATCACTATTAGTTTGAGCTGCACAGCGAGACCCTGGACCAAACAGATAAATAAAAGATTAAAAAAACAAAAACAAGACAACAGCAAAACAAACAAACAAAAACCCAGAAAATTGGCAAGCTTTAAATTTGAGATTTTATATTATTTTGTGATATAAAATAGAATTATGTCAAATTTGCAGTTAGTCTATTATTCATTAAATTCATCTTCCCTTAAGCCAAATTCCATACAGTTCAGTTCACTTTTTGTAACAGTTCTATGTATTTTAATTACTGATGCTTTGATACTAAGGATAGTATGTTCTAAAATCTGTTTAATTTTCATTCATTGCTCTCAAGGAACTGTGATTTCCCTTTAGAAGAAATAAAATAAAAATGTAAATCACAATGCATTAGTTCAACTATCTGGCTTCCTGCTATTGACAAGATTCTCTAGACAGTTTTAAAGAAATGCTAACCAGGCTAAAGTAGTACCTAAAAATAAGACGCAGCATTTCCCCTGAAGGTGAACATAACTGCATTAACAGTTCTAAACTCTGTGCTCTCCGTAGTGTTTTGTCCTTTACTACCTACAATTTAAGGGCAGTTTAGGCCAGGAGTCAAGAAGTATTTCCTACAAAGAGCAGGAAATGTTTACTTCCCCCACCCAATCCTTTATAATTATAAAACTATTCTTAGTTGCAGGTTACTAAAAAACTGACTGTTTCAAGGTTGTATTTGGTTAGATTTTTGGACTTATGTGTAAATATAAGAATTATATAATTCTTCTCAATGAATAGAGGGATTTGTTCTAATTGTGTTTGTAAATAGGATATCATGTCCACATCTTGCACAGCAATTAACCACTAGGAAGAATGTATGCAATGTGTTAATTATTGAAACTATCCTAACAATTTGGTTTGAAACTGTCTCAGTCAGGAAAAGGAATACTGTGGGACAGTCGTGCTTCAAGGTTGTATATGGTGAGATTTTTGGACTTATGTGCAAACATGAGAAGCATAGAATTCTTT